GTATGCAAACTAAATAAAAGTTTGTATGGGTTGAAACAATCGCCAAGGTGTTGGAATAATAGATTTAAGCAATTTCTATTAGAGTTCAAACTAGAACAAAGTGCATCGGATCCATGTATTTATTTTAATCATTATAATAATGAAACATTAATTTTAGCTATTTTCGTTGATGATGGTTTGATAGCGTCGAGTAGCATAATAAAAACAAATGAATTGTTGCAAGGTCTTGAACAACAGTTTGAGATAACACAGGGTAATTTAGATTATTTTCTAGGTATGGAAATAACTAGATGTACTGACGGATCAATATGTATACACCAGACAAATTACGCTAATTCGATTATTAGTAAATTTAATTTATTAGATGCGAAGGAGTTATCTACACCAATTGATAGGTCACATACTATAGAACAGAAATTAACAACGAGTGATAATCAATTTCCATACAGGCAGGCTGTGGGAAACTTATTATTCTTATCTCAAGTCACGAGGCCAGATATAGCATTCGCTGTTAACTATGTTAGTAGGTTTTTAAATAATCCAACGTCGGTACATTGGACCATGGTAAAGCGAATAATTCGTTATGTAAAAGGAACAACAACATTTGGTTTATGTTACAAATCTAACGTAAATTTGTGTTTAAGCGTATTTTCAGACTCAGATTATGCAGGAGATTCAGAGACAAGACGTTCAACTTCTGGTCATGTGTTCATGCTAGGAGTATCTACGGTATCATGGCAAGCGCAAAGGCAACCCATAGTAACACTAAGTTCAACTGAAGCAGAATATATCTCGGCGTGTGAAACAATCAAAGGATTGATTTGGATTGACAGATTGGTAAAAGAAATCTGCACCAGTACAACGGGTGGACAACCGACATTGTATGTGGACAATCAGAGTGCAATTCGACTTGTGAAAAATCCAGAGTTTCACAAGAGAACTAAACACATCGACGTCAGGTATCATTTCATCAGGGAAAAGTTTGAAGAAAAATTATTTCGATTACAGTACGTTGAAACAGAAGAACAATATGCAGACATATTTACTAAGCCACTTCCGAAGGATAGGTTTGAAAAATTAAGGCAAAAATTATCAGTGTTGAAATTACTTTAATTTTTCTTGTTTATATAAAATATTAATTACGGGGGTGTGTTGAATATAATTTAATATTGTATTAGTAGTATAATCATATTGTGTATAACAAAATATAGCTGTTATTAGAATCTGATAAATCACACCACATATGGCGTGATATTGTATTAGCCAATAAGCAAGCTTGTAAAGTGGCGTGAGCCAGGGGTCAGTAGATCATTAGTATATAAGATTGTTTAGTTGTGTACTGTAGGCACTGCATTTTAGGTATTACTTATGTGTATGTCATGTATATCTCGTAAGCATAGTACTTACATTGTTAGAAGTCAAATTACTTTTCATACTTAGTTATGTGTTTTAGTTTTAGTGAAATATTACGTATTCTTACTATAACTAAATTGTGTTGTATATTTTATCTTTTGTCGATCCATATTATAACCTCCTTTCAACAACTATTACTGCGTCATTTTAGATATATTTAAAGCCATATAAAAATTACCGTCCAAGTAGGTATAAACATAATATTATTATGTTTTGTATTTTAATTACTTACCACGCATTTTATAATTAATGGGAATTGTTATAATTATTTAAGTGAAATTACATACAAAACGTAAACAAAAGTATGTTTGACTAATTTTTGTATTAAATTAATTAATCTCCAACATTAATAAATACCTAGTAATTTAGATTTGAAGTTGAATATAAATTATGTAAGTTATTTGTACTTATAGTCTATAATGCATAAGGCACGGCATCTGAATTGTTATAATACCTACAATGGTAACAATTTTAATTTTTGATAAGTTTTGGTAAACAATTTTATTTTTTAATAAGCAAACGCTTAAATAAATGTTTAAATTTCTTAACAAAATTAGTTTCATTGACCTATAACCTTACTGTGTAAGTAATAAGTAGTCTCATAGTATATATTTTGTCGTATAATCAATAAATACATCTTATTTGGTCAACAGGTTGAGGGGTAAAGAATAAACTAATAGGTACCAATAGTACTTATATTAACTAACTAGATAGACTTATAAGTTTTAACGTCTTGTAGACTTTACTAATTATAAAATATAACATATTAATAAGTATACTAATTTTTCCTATTGTATATTATTTTTATTATTATTCTATAATTGACTTTATTGGATTGTCTATAATTCTTATTTCTTACTTAAAAATATAAACATTTCTATGTTTACTTGCTGGAATTAAATAATTGGGCCTAGTTAGGTTTTTATCATGTTTAAAATTTTGTACTTTGTAAGTTACAAATATTTAATAATAAACACGTTGAAAATAGCTTGAGCCTTGAGATAAACATACCTATTATTTTATAATGAACGCTACACGCCACCACGTTTCAGATCATTAACCTAATTATTTTAGTAATTCTGCATTATGTTTGTTGTCTTTAGACTCAAAAACTACTCTACCAATTTTGACGAAAATGTTAGGGATTGTTCTTAGAGATAACAGAAGAGTTTAGAGAACCACTTTCGGAAATATGCCAAGAGTTTTTAATATGTTAACCTAGGTACAGCTGGTATAATATTATATAGTGACGAACAACCATAGTATACGCCTACTGTATAATGTTGAATAATGAAAATAATATATTAATATTTATACATTATACTATAAGTGCATTAAATCGTTATTCAACTCGTTATACTCGACTATTGTACCTACTATATAAATGTACTTGGATCTTACAAACTTTCAAACATAAAACGAACTATAACGAACTATAACGAAAACGGTTTTGTAAGAACTGATGAGATTCGTGACCGGAAATCCTTCGCACTATTATCACTACCTAGGTACTATAATATAAACATTATAAACGGAGGCGACGAGCCGATGGAAATAATGGAGGACACAACATATTATACCCAGCACATAAATACGGTATAACAAGCGAACCACTGCAGAGTTCTGGAGTCCATACTCCATACCTGCAAGTGCGGTCACCTCGGTTTATACCACGGTAGTATAAAGCGCGGTCAATAGAGCTCTACGCAGGATTTCGCAAACAGTCGGATATGAAAAGTTTTCGCCTAAACTGAATTCTGCTATTACTATTTGTATCTAATTAATATGTTTTTGTCCAGAGGTATAGTTAACTGCTTTCAAAGAATAAATTATTTTTTTTCATAAATATTTTTCATAATTTTAATTTTGTTATTCAAGTTATAACAAAATGTGAAGTACATATTTTCATGTTTTTATTACCTGTTTATCTAAATGACTTTAACTCCAAGGAAATCTCTATTATAAAACGTTTTATAAAAATAACTCAAGCAGTACGTATATTATAACGTCTTGATAAACAATACATCTATATACACATGTTTTTGTCAAATACATTTTTTTTCATCTTGTCGGGTTTAGGTACTGGCCATGACAAGAACACGCCTTCCAGACGGCGATGGAATCAAAAAAAAAATCAAATCGAAACTGGCACCCATAGATACCTGCAAGAAATATTATTTAAGTATATTTAATGTTTCTTGTTACCACGTTTTGTCGCTCTAATTAACACGATATTCGATGGTTATTGGTTACACGGCAAAACTGTCTAAGTGACACTTTGGGTCTAAGCGATACGGCTTATACAATTGAATGAAAAAATATATTTTACGTCCAGTAAGAGTATGCAAAAACAGCTGTAACATTTATAGTTATGGCAATTTGAATTTTAAGTTTGAGGTCTAAACGACACTTTATATTTTGTCATCTAAAATAAAGGGTCTACACGACAACAATTTGGAATAAACATAAGTATAATCAGGGGCAGATCTGAAGCTTGGTTAAAGGGGGGGCGAATTTCGAATAGGAATATCCATGAGTAATATACAAGTACAATGAGTATGGTGAAACCTGGTGGGTGGAGGGGGTCACCACCCCCAGAAATCCGTATATCAATCCGGATCAAATTTTATAATCCGTATACTATAAAATTATCAGTATACATTTTTTCAACCCCTCCCCCCACCAAGAAAAAGCATTTCCTGCTGTTGCCCCGGCAATGAAGACTTGACCGAAGTTCAAGTAATTTATGGAAAAAGAAGTACAACACTTAAAATTAATTGTAGGTACCTTTATTTGTTTTAAATAGCTATAACAATGTATTGTTCAAAAATAGGTATAATTATAATAATAATTGTAAGTTTCTTTTTTTTTTCATTTGCAAATCTATTAATTACTTCTTCTATGTTCACAATAATATCTTTGCAATAAAGCCAAGCCAGTCAGCCTATGTTTGCCCATTCGCGATCTCAACCATGTTTTTAATCTACAAATTAAAAACAATAAGAAATAAGCAAACATGCAAAGCATTTTGGAATTTAGATGCAGATATTTTCATCTTAAATTAAAAAGCAAAATTTTATTTTTATCATTAGTTATCTGACCTGCGCAAAGTGGAAAAGCTGCGTTCAGCGGAAGCAGTACTAATTTGCAAACTAGCAAGTATAGAAATCAAAGATTTAATTGTTGGGAAGATTATCCCACAACATGCATCCAAAGTATCAAAAACATTTTTTGGTAATATATCACCTAAAATGTACAAAATAAATAAATTGCAAAGCTAAATATTTTTTAAAACTTAACATTAATTTTTGATTGTTACCTACCTTTTAACTCTGATTTTTTCCATTTTTGTATCCATAACTCAAGTTCTGAATTTAATAAGTCATTATTGACCTCTTGAAAAAATGGATATTTATCTTTAATGTATTTAACAATAATTGAGCTACTATTAGTCTCAGACCATTGAATTAAATTGTTTGGTACTAGATATGTTAGCATTTTTATAGTTTGATTTTCTTGGCCATAAAATCTTTTTTCTAAGTCAGTTATTACACAGTCTAGGAGCGGAATGAAAATTTTATTATTCATTATTTTCTGAAATAGTCTTCACAATTATTTATTTTATTCGGATTTGATCTATTTTTTTGATGAGCTGACACCCTAGGTATTTTCAAATGAATGTCCAATTCATCCATCAACATTTTGCATTCATTATAAATGATTTGAAACGTTGTATTACAGTTTAGGCGATTGTTTTTAAGTACAGACACTATATCATCTATAACATTACTAGCTGATAATATATCATGGTTTATTCCTTGTAATAATTTACTAGCATGGAATGTAACTGAGAGTACAGAAGATAAAGAATATATTGAAATAACAAACTCACAGTTACTTATCGAGCATAAAAGTGTTTTTGCTTTGGAAGATGATGATAAATCTTCCCAGTTAGTTCTCTCTGTTAAAGCATCAATAATTTTGGGTAGTGACTTTTTAAATTGTAAAACACTATCATGCCGCTCTACCCAGCGTGTTTCACATAAACTTAAAACATTATTCTTTAAATACTTTTTCAAAATAAAATTACGTTTTGTTGAACTATTAAAAAATGTTATTACTTGTTGCATGATACCTACACTATTTCTAAAGGGCTTGTACCGTTGATGAATTTGAAATGGATAATTTAAGTGCATGATTATTACAAGGGCTGTACACTGCATTTTTAGCTGATTTTTGAACATTTTGAACAGCTCCTTTTATAGTTTAAGTCATTGTTGCACAACCATCTGTTGAAATACCAACACAATTATTGATATCTAGCTATCATGTAAAATATTGATAACTGTTGTTCCTAGTAGTTCTCCGCTCAATTTAGGTTCAATTTTTGATATATTTTCTAAGTCCTGGTCTTCATCATGATCATCATGTGCATCACCATATATCTTTTTATGACAGTTAACAAAAGAAATAAAACGTTCAAAAACTTTTTCAGATTTTAAGTACCGCACACTAAAACTCATTTGGGAAATTACTGAAACATCAGTCGTTTCATCAAAAATGATGCTGTAATATTTTGCTTCTTTAATCTCATTTGTTATGAAAGTAGTTATTTCTTTTCCAATGCACTCAATTAAGTTGTTTTGTATTGTATAACTTATATATGTAGTATTTTTAGAAGTAGACATAAGATGATGTTCAAGATTTTTATCGCCAGCATCTATTCTGAATTTGAGAAGTTCCCTAAAATTTCCTTGGTTAGTAATTGACTCTGTGTATGAACTAAAATCTGAAGATATATTTTTGGATAAAAGTTGGCCATCATCCCTGTGGCCCCTAAGTGCAATATTTTGACGTCCTAAGAACAATATTGACTTAATTATAGGTACTAAACGTTCACGATTTTCTTTAATTTCTTTCATGCGTTGGGTATCAATCATGTTTGCTACTATGTTCTCTGGATTCAAATTTTTTTTTTTTGAAGTCAAATGCAAATTGAACACAATTTTTATGGTAAATGTTATTTTGATGAACTTCTAAGTACCCTTGTTTACCCAATAACTTTGAATATTGGTCTAATGGTTCAGTAATTAATCTTTTTAACTGTTCTGTACCCCTCCTTCCAGTTTTATAATTAGGCAAAAATAATATACAATATTTACAAAATAAACTAGACTTAGCCTTGGAATACTCCAACCAACAATATTTTTCAAAATGGTTTTTTTTTACATATCGTTTCTCATTCTTACCTTGCTTAAGATGGGTAGAGAATGGATACACAAAATCTTTATCTGGTATTGTTACTACGATTTAGAATTGCATATTTTGTATAGTCATCTAACTTAACATTACTTACATTTCCAATATCTAAAGATTCTAGACAATAAAATAAAAACCAGTTATGATAAATTATGTTATGTTTAATGATAATAAGATACTCACCAATAGATGCATGTTCTTTTGCAGGCAATACTCCTTCTTCACCACTTTTATTTAATGTTACTAAAAATTAAAATGCATTATTACTTATTAGTCACTAAATAGTAAATTAAATTGAGCAATACATTATACCAGAGATACTTACCAGTAGGTTCATGCTCTTTAACCAGCAGAGCCTCTTCTTCACCACTTTTATTTAATGTTACTAAAAATTAAAATGCATTATTACTTATTAGTCACTAAATAGTAAATTAAATTGAGCAATACATTATACCAGAGATACTTACCAGTAGGTTCATGCTCTTTAACCAGCAGAGCCTCTTCTTCACCACTTTTATTTAATGTTACTAAAAATGAAAATGCATTATTAGTCAGTAAGTAGTAAATTAAATTGAGCAATACATTATACCAGAGATACTTATCAGTAGGTTCATGTTCTTTAACCAGCAGTATCTCTTCTTCACCACTTTTATTTAATGGTACTAAAAATTAAAACGCATTATTAGTCAGTAAGTAGTAAATTAAATTGAGCAATACATTATACCATAGATACTTACCAGTAGGTTCATGTTCTTTAACCAGCAGTATCTCTTCTTCACCACTTTTATTTAATGGTACTAAAAATTAAAATGCATTGTTAATCACTAAATAGTAATTTTTACTAATTTTTTACTTTTTAATTTTAGCTATAATAAATATCATACTATCATAGTGCTTACCAGTATCGGTATTTTCAATTTTTGTTTTTTTTTGAGAACTGTGTGAATCCTTGTCACTAAGAAAATAATCACTTATTCGTTTCATACAGATCGATGAATTTAACAAATTAAAACAAAACCGAAATATTCAATATTCATAAAAATCACCAAACAGTACCAAATAGGATTTACTAATTACAAATATTATAATCATAAAAGTGAGAAAAATAATCACACTATCACAGATAATTTCTATGTATAAATCATAGATATATATTATTAATAATATAAATCTATGGTATAAATACTATAAATAAATATGTCATTGTCTGATAACGTTGTTATCATTGTTATCATGAAACATAAAAAGAAAAAAAGAAAATAATAATTAATAATTATTAATTTATAAAAATGTATTGTGTAATGTGTAAATCTATAAATCGAAAATATTAAATAAATCTGTAATAAAAAAAAAGCCCAATGGGGGGGGGGGTGATCGCCACGTCGCCCCCCCCCCCCATAGATCCGCCACTGAGTATAATTTTTTAGGAAACAAGGGACGTTTATGGAAATCGTGTGGAGCTTGTACCCGAATGTTCATATAATTGATATTTCTAAGATATGATATGATTGTAGTACAAGTGTACAACTGATATTCATTTACAATAAAATTATTATCTTAATTTAGATTTCAAGATTAAAACATTTCATCCAAATTGGCCAAACCAACATATTTATGGTAGCCAGTAGGTAAGTTAACTTTTATTACAAAATATTAATAATATGTCCTTAGTTAAAGGAAGTGATATCTATAATTTATAGTAATGAGGTAGTTCTCCAAAATTATTCTATTAAAAAATAATATTCTATATAATAATGAATGGAAGGATTAAATAAAATTGAACCTTTAATTGAAGAAATTGGTACTTATAATAAATTGGATGTATTAAATAAAAAAATATATATTGCTAAAACTTGTGATAAGTGTAATTTAACAATTGGTTACAAAAGTTGGTCTGCTCATTTGAAGTCTATTCGTCAAAAAAATGATATAGATCAAACAATTTTACCTTGTAGACTTAATACAAAATACAAGGTTATACCAATTAATTAATATAGACTAAACAATTTTAATTTTTTGAAATTAATGCAAAATTATATAAAAAAAGTAGGTATAAAAAATATTTTATTTAATTTTTTTTAAATGTTATGTGAAATTTGTGCTTTAGAATATTATGAAAATTCTGAGAATGTTAGATATGATCTAAATGAAATTTTAATTGATGGAAATTTTTTTATTATTAATCAAGGAGATGTTGGAAATGGAAATAATTATATTTCTAAATTATTACACCCACCAACTTGGTTAGAACTTTGTTATATAGCTAATGATTTAATTATTGCAACAAGTGATTATAATAACTATTATCTATACAATATTAAAATTGTTCAAAAGTTAGGAAATATTAAAATGTGTGCATTTTTTTATGGGATTCAAGATCCCATAAGGTCCCATTATTTAAATAGAATTTTTATTAAAAAATGAATGTACAAAAATAATAATATTATCTATAATAAATAGTGGATAATGAAAAAATTGAAACCAATGTTAAAGGAAATGTTAACAATGATAAAATGGATAAAAAAACTGGTGATAAATGTAACTTAACAGTTACTTACAAAAAATGGTCTTGACGTTTAAAATCTATTCGTCATCAAAACAATGATATAGATCAATGAATTATAACTCGATTTAGAAGAACATACAGAGGTATATCAACATCAAATATAAGAACAAGACAAGAGAGAATACAAAGACCTGCAGATATAACTTGTGATATTTGTAATTTAACAGTTAAATACAATAGTTGGTCTAAACATGTACAGTCTATTCGTCATCAAAACAATGGTATAAGACCAAGAAGACCAAGACTAGAGATAATACCCAAACAACATAGTTTTCAATTTTAGTGCAAAAATGTTTGAAAAGAACAACACGATTCGACCTATTTTCAAAACTGAAGAAACAGCATTTCAAAATATATTAAAAACTTATATTATTAAAAATAATATGGGTATTAAAGATATACAAATATTTTTAAATCGTTTAGATAAACCAGTAATACGACTACTTAAACAACCATTAAAAAGGGACAATTTAAAAGTTAATATTATGTTTCTTGCTACATATAAGAGAGGTACTAATGAAGAAAATATTGAATATAAAGAATGTAATTTTAAAACAACAAATACAATTTTAACAAAAAATTCTGACTTAAATGTTTATTATATAAATTCAAAAATTAAAATTTTAAATGAATTTCAATATTTTGTAATAAAAAATTCTCAATGGAGACTTCATCAAATTTTAAGTTTGGGAAGAAACATAAATAAATAAGTTCATTTTAAAGGTTCTTCATATATTCCATTACCTAGACATAGGTACTAAAGATAAACATGCTATTATAAATGTTAAAATATAGATAATAAATGTTTTGTTTGTTCATTACTCTCTGCTTTACATAGTAAAGATGTTAAAAAAGATCTACAAAGAGTATCTAAATATAAAAAATGGGAAAATGAATTTGAGAACGAACTAAAGGATATTGAATTTTCAGTAAAATCCACAAATATTTCTAAATTTATGAAAAGAACAAAGGATATTTACATTCATATTTATTGTTTAGATGATGATGAAATACATGTTGTACCTTTAGAAATAACTAAAATAGAAAATAAAAAGGTGGGCAAGTGGATTTCGCTCTGCTGTGCTGTAGGTTACAAGTGGGTCACTGTATAATGGATGGTATTAAATTTGAATTCAACGATATATTATCATTGTATAAGAAAAACGATTCTGAGTGGAGACGGTATGTCAGTATAGGTATAAGACATATTATATACATATCTATGGTATTAAAAAAAAAATTGACCTATAATATAGGTACCTACAATAAATTCCAAATTAATCATATCACAATATCCATTAGGTACTTATAACGCGTTATACATAAACAAAAACCGTGATACTATCATAGATATATAATAATACGCTTTAGAAGTTTCAAGTACCCACGAATAATATTATTCAATCACAACAAAAAAACTAAAATAGTTATTCTAGGTTTTTTAATATGTAATTTCGTCCAAATTTGAATTTAAAATGTCTGTAAAAAATAACTGTGCTCATATATTTTTTTAGATTTTTTGGCTACAGTATAAACTATTTATGAGAATCTTTTTTTTTAATTTTCAATCCATAGCTATAAAAAGTTGACACAGAGTAATACATCAAAATGCTTAATGCATTGATCAAAATAATGAACTCACTGATTATTGCTCACAAAAGAAGTCCAGATTGAAAGCGGTCTTTGTAATTGAGAGATCATTACTCGGAGGTTGGTGCTCATGCACTAGTTTAAGGGAGATGCTGACCACAGAGTGGTAGGTGACTTTATCAAAAAGTTATCGTGAGCCTGAGAACTATATTTTTCTTTTTCGCCAGATAATCTTTTTATTTCTTTTATTTTCTCTGCAGGTGGCATCATAAAATAAAGTCACCCACATCCTACTGTATACCGTTATAAGTACGTGCCGATATCTAAATTCTCGTTTAAAATGGTTTTATTTGATGTGACCGATCTATACAAATGACAGACTGGTCGTTATTTATTATTCTATAAAATTTTAGTTTATTATAATGGTGTGTGAGCATATCATTAGAATAATATTAATTCAACTTACATGATATAATAATTTATAACAATATAAAATATCCAGACTGACAAACTGTCTCCGCTCAGAATCGTTTTTCTTGTACATTGATAGCATATCATTGAATTCAAGTTTAATACAATCCATTATACAATGACCCACTTGCAACCTACTGTACAGCAGAGCGACATCCACTTACCCACTTTTTTTTTAATGGTTCCACTAAAATGTATTTCTAATCTATAGAAAAGAAACTTTGATTCTATCTGGTCTTCCAGGACACAACTCACTTTTTTTTATTAATAATAAATTGATAGTACAACTTTGGTACTTTAAAGTTAAATTAAACACTTAACTGCGTGGGGTCCGCATAATCTCGAAAGCCTAGCATTGCCGTGTCAGCTAGTTATTATATAATAACTGTCATTCAAATTGTACTATTATTAATTATTTTTTTTGACAATTTTCTTTCCAAGTTTCCACAAAAGTGCGTGTTTGGATACTTGATCTTTTGAGTTTTGACCATTGGTATTCTAGATAGTAGGTACAGAATAAAATTAATTAATATTATCATTACAATAAAACTTCGCCTAAGGCGGAAATAATAGTATAATAATTATTAATTATTATTTTAAATCTCGTACAAACACCAGTATTTACAATAGGTTCTATTTCTAACTCAAAATAATTTGAATATTTTCATGAATTTTACCTATTTTGTTAAAATTTGAACTTTAAATGCTTATAAAAAACATGTGACTGTATTTTTAAACTAACATGGTAACAATTAATTAGGAGCCTTGTATTAAATATTCAAGCTTCTTGAGTAATAAAATATAATTTCATAGATAAATAAACTAAAAAAATTTAATTTAATATGTCAAAACGAGTAAAATTATTTTCAAAATGATAATATGCAGGTGTATAAAAATGATTGTTAATATATTAGTTCTTCAGTGAAAATTTAAGGTAGATATCTATAGTTATATTTTTAGAGTTACATCAAAAATCAAAATAAAATTTGTCCAAAACTGGCTGTATGCTAAAATATCCGTTTGTTTGTTTACATGACGCTTATGAAAACTATTAACATTTTTCTCTTTCCCCTTCAATAACCCCACTAGATTAACTTTCCTATCAGAAAAAATAATTGAAGAAAACATTCAAGCATTTCTACTGCCCCAAAATTGTCTAAGTAAGTAACCGTGGATACCGTGGTTGTCAAGCAAACATCATCATTGAGTATTTCACAGTAATGGATGTGTACAATTTGAGTTCAATGAACAAAAATCATTGCATACAAAAAACAATTTTGAGCCATAATGGTTTACTTTTGACCCATCTTTAAGTACCAACTAGATTCACTTACCACTCTGAAAATATACTGTGATAGACAATTTAAGCATATATTTTATTACCAAAAGTATCTTCGGACACAAAAGAAAAAAAACTAACATTATAAAATCAATACATTCTTAGATCCGTGCGTTGAAAAAATTTTAATTAAAGTTTACATATAAAAGTTAATGTTATTATGTACCTATAAATTTTTATAATTAAAAGTTTGATTTTTAATTGTTTTATTCCTAATAAAAATGATCGTATTGTTGTTTAAATTACACTAATTTTCTTAGAGCTATACAAAATGTATATCAATACCACTAGCAAATGGTATGCCAGCCTTCACCTTCCTAGGAGATTCGATACCGTGATTTTCTGTTTTTGTCTAGTATTTTAGACGTGTTTTTTTGTAAACATTAAAATTGATCTATTAAAGCGATATGAATAATTAAAACATATTTGAATTTGTTGTCAAGTCTACTGGAAATCGACTTTCCCACATGTTTGATATTATTCCCCAAATTACTATAAATGTCATATTAAAAAAAGCAGGTAAGTGGATGTTGCTCAGCTGTACAGTAGGTTACAAGTTGGTCATTGTTTAATGGATTGTATTAAACTTGAATTCAATGATATAATATCAATGTATAAGAAAAACGATTCTGAACGGAGACGGTTTGTCAGTCTGTATATTTTATATTGTCATTAATTATTTTATTTATTTAATTATTATTTTTTTTATTTGTTGCTACGGTGATAAACAAATTGTTAGAAATTAAAATCCCACTTTAAGCGGTTTTTCGTAATTTTTCAGTACTTTTTCCCGTGGCATTAAATAATTATTGAGAAAATCAAAAAATGACCTCTCTAAAGTACCATCTTGGTCCAATTTGCTAAAAGATAAGATACTATATGTTGAAATAAAAGCACTCCTTCTGGTAGAAATTTTGTATACAGGATATAAAAAAAAAAAAAAAAAAAAAAAAAATAAACACCATTGTAAAACCACTAGCTTCCTTGCTCCGCTCAGAATCTAAAAGAGTGTTTTCGTTTTCGTATTTTAATTTTTGGAGAAGGTTAAATCAAAATATCAAAAATGTGGGACTGTCGATTTCAAATTCTCAATCTGTTGAATCTAAAACCTTACGTCATGTGTCTGTTAGACAAATACAGAAAATCCCAGTATCGAATACCATTAATCCAAGAAATTGTTATTTTCATTTATGATCAATTTTTCTTTGTATATCCCTAGGTAACTAAGGCATGTGTGGTATTTATGCACAATTTGTAAATATTTCTTAATTCTTATTATTGGTACTCAAATTATTTTATTTTATTTTTATCGTGTTAGTATGTTGTTGGCCTGTAAGTGTATACCTACAAAAAGTGTTGTAAATTAACTACATAAAAATTTAGACACATAAAATAGATTCTCTAACTTGTAACAGATAGTTTTTTATTAAATGAAATCAAACATAATACGGAATAATTTAGAATATTTTTTTTATGAATATATAGGTATTATTATCGTTTACAATCAAATCATATTTAAATCATATCATTAATGTACATTTATTTATTCACTTATAAATAACAATCTCTTTTTGTAGCATTTTGGCAACCGGTCTTTTGCCAAAAGTTTAAACCGTCTCTTATAAGAATCATAACAGAAATCGATGCAGCTATTCTCGGAGGTAAGAGTACCAAACCTACCCCGGGTATTAATGACGCAAGAGACAAGCCAAGACTAGATGACTTGATGACTGTGGTTGCGATTTCTGTTTTTTCTAAGATTTCCAAACATTTTTCGTAGTCTTTATGATCTTCATTCAGAGCACTTTCCATTTCATCAAATGCATTATTCAAACGCATAGCAAAATTACCGGCCATCATCATTTGAAAGAACGTTAACGCCATAGCAGTGAGAGGGATTGCGGCCAGTGTTGTCATTGCCGTGTAACTGGTTTCGTGAACTATTAAGGCCGTTTTCAAATCTTCAATCTGTTCATCGTTTCCACAGAACGTGGAAACATTGGGTGAACACAATGCAATTGATAACGATAGGTAGAAAAACACAGAATATATTTCTTTCATTTTTGTTTTCAAGTAAATACAGCTCAAGTTGTGTCAATATCCCAAGATATTCGTACGAGTCGCAATGTGTTGGGTGAGCTTCTGTAAACACACAATATACATACATGTCATAATATAAGTAGAAAAATGTAATCTGTAAAAAAGTCCATTTTTAAAAAAGTTGAACAAAAAGTAGGAAAATACAAAATATTCTATTAAACTTAATATTTATTTAAAAAGTGTAATTAATTTTGTTAACATTACATTACATTTTAATTTGATTATTATAATTTAGATATTTTTCGTGATTTGTTGGAAGGCTGTGCTAAATACAATAAGAGTTTTAGTTTAAAAAGCCACTTGAAAGAATTACAACTTTGTCACTTAAAATAATTAAAGGACAAAAAAATTACTTTCGATTATGGACAAGAACCCAACAAGCAATGCATGACATCTATAGATCATATAAATGTAGTGAATATTAATCAATCTGAAATGTTATATTTCATCATTTATTTTGGGTTTACTTATTGGTGATTTCATGCCAATATTTGAGAACATTTGGGACCTTTATTTATTAGACTCTTAGATATTGCATTGTCAACATCACTTAAAGAAAAGAGTTGTTTGTTATTAGAGACTGTCGTCACAGATATAAATTAACTTTATTTAAAATTTAGTAAAAATGTGCTTCTTACTCATTACTCCTTCACTTAAGATCAATGTGGTACGAAGCAAATCAATGAATTCCAAAAATGTTAGCAATATACTCTTTCAACAGATGTAATATTTGCATGAGTTTGGCCAGTGGCATGGCGAAGTGAAATGTTTTGTCTACAATTTGTTTTTTTTTGAAAGACCTACCATTTAAGTTTACTTAAATTCAATATACTTAGCATTTATTCACGATATCACATCTTTATAGTGCTTAAAGATCTCATATTTTATTTACTTGGCCATTTTTAAACGTAGTTTACGAAGGGTTTTTGTTGTGATATCACTAATTTTTATCGTTATTGAATATTGAGTATTTACACAATAATCTATTAGAATGTTATATCATCAGTAACAACTAACATTGGTAAATCTGATGCGACGACGACTACGCTGAAGACGGCTACCGTGATTCTGAATTTAATATAAATTTAAATTATAATTTAATTTCTAAACATACGATTTTGTTTAATACGAGTAAAAGCACGTTTTACACAATATTTCTGATGTTTTGGAGTTTACTAGGAGTTCATTGATGAATTAGAAAATTAGTTATGCCTTATAAAAAATTTACCAGTATTTTACACAGTTTAAATAGGCAACACCTGCTTCGATATACTATACACATTAAACACACCGTCGTGATTTTATTTTTTCTTACTTAGCACGCACCAAGACCATGGAGCTGGATATAGCTAATGGCCTAAGTTTCCGGACTCAAGCTCAGAAAAATAAATCTTATTTACAAAAATCCCGTGTCACGTCTTTGTCCGGTATAAACTAAGAAACTACTGAACCGATCTTGATGAGATTTTTACAATGTGTGTAATTTCACAGAACATAAAAGATAGGCTAATTTTAAAAGGGAGAGGATCAACCGCTTTTGATTTTGAGATTTCAGATGAAAATGTTTGTTTATAAATGGTTGCCATGAGTGACGTCGTATAAAATAATTCGTTAGAGAAATATCAATACAGAATTATAGTGAATCGTTTTAATTCGTTGAAAAGATCACAAACAAACCATTTATTATATACATCGACGATATGTTATTGTACATATTATACATATTTAATGAGTGTTATTATTATGCGTCTATAAGCAATGGTGGGTTTTTAAGCTTTATATTAATAATAATAAAAAAGAAAAAAACTATTTGCTTTACTTTTTAAATATAAATTATTATATAATAATATCTAACTATAAAAGTGTAAAGAAAAATCTCTGTACAGGCTAAATTCTGGAACTACTTATCAGATCTTCAGGATATTTTTTTTAAACGAAAGAATTGTTCACGGACAATTTTTATATGAAAGAAAATTTTAGGAAAATCCACCAATTTATGATGTATTGGTTGCTATTGATTAATCATGTTTGTTGATTTGTTTTATTATCTCTTGTCACTGTACATATTTATTTAATATATCCAAAAAGATCTGATAAGTAGTTCCAGAGCTTAGTCTCTAAGTTATAATCTGTGTATTTATATAGTTAGACATATAAATATATTTACAGATTAATGTATCTAAGAGTTAAATTTTTTTTTTTTTTTTAATCATCGGATTTTAGTACGGTAAGGTTAGGATAGGATTTTGCATAAATTGATTATATTAATCTACCGTAGATGGAATTAAGTAAAAACGACAAACTTAGTATAACTTTCATACTTTAGAGTTACGGGATCAGCTAGTATATATATAATTATAATTTAAAACTAACTCATGACTTTTCCTTAGGTAGTACAAAATGTTTTGAGCCCAATCTTTCTATTGAAATTGCAATTTTTAGAGCGCAATCGGTACATCGACAATAAAATGTTTAGAGGAAAATTGGTTTATGAAAAGGTCATTTTAATCGGAACTGGTAAACTACCTAAAATATGCGTTTGACATCGTAGAGCCAAAGTCTAAGCGGCCAAGTATGTTATACGTGTAAAAGTGTCTATATAAACACAACTTTTTAAATCGTTAAAGATAATGTTTGAGATAAAATAACGAAGTTATGGAGAGTAGGGAAAATACGCAGCAAAGCAGCAGATTATAAAGTGTGGAACTAGTTAAAATGGCGTGCTTATCGTAATGTGTATCCTACTACTGAACATATATTAGTTGAGTACCGAATCAATAATTTGTCTTCGATTGTAAAACATATTATGTATATTACTATATTCCCTTACCTCGTGTGGTAGTGAGCAAGATGTGTAGACTCTCGTTGGAATATGTACGTGTCTGATTGGTATGAGTCGTTATTAACACTTTCGATGTACACTACAATACTCTGGTGTTAGAACAGACCCAATAGTAAGTTAACTCTGTGAAGAAAGATTGATTTCTTGTCATCAACAGAAAAACTGGTCGGTGTTGTGTGGTTTCGCTGAGGGCGCCGCCGACGTGGTCTTCTGTGTCGATCTGCCGTGTTGCGCTGAGTGTAGTCTATTGTCTGTGCATGGCGTTTATATAAGGAAGCGATTGTTTCATCCCCACTCTATTGTTATTATACGTAACGTCGGAATTGACTGTTCACGTTTGTTATGTGAACTGCGTATGTGCACTTATTCATGTTGTGTTTTCGCATATTTTCGTTGGGTTTTTTGCAGTATTGATACGATAAGGGTGTTTTTTGGCACTATTTTCACGAATACAGTGTTTTTTTATGTTGTATGTTCGTGATTGTTATTATAGTCCTTTTATACAATATTTTATGATTAATATATTAATTTTATATTAAATATTTTAATTTCTAAAGCTTTGTTTATCACCATAGACAAAAATTAAAAAAGAGGGCAAGTGAGTGTCACTCTGCTGTATAGTAGGTTACAAGTGGGTCACTGTATAATGGATGATATTAAATTTGAATTCAACGATATAATATCATTGTATAAGAAAAACGATTCTGAGCGGAGACGGTATGTCAGTCAAGGTATAAGACATATTATTATATACATATCTATGGTACTAAACCAAAATTTGACCTATAATAAATTCCAAATTAATCATATCGTCGTCTCAGAATGAAAAGGTTCCAACGAAATGTTTGTAATTGTTCAGGGGAACGTTTTTATATTAGCCCGTACCTATCATTCACGTATTAATTGGAACGTTTTCATTCTCTGTATCTCATTGAATAATCAACGGATCGATACGATTTCGGGATTGAATTATACAACAAAAAATATTAAATAAAAATATGTAAAAAACCCATTTTTCAAAATAATTGATTTAGAACCTTTTTATTCTGAGACGACGATATCACAATATCCATTAGGTACTTGTAAGTTATAACGCGTTATACATCACAAAAACCATGATACTATCATAGATATATATTAGTACACTTTAGAAGTTTCAAGTACTCACTAATAACATATTCAATCACAACAAAATAACTAAAATAGTTATTCTAGGTTTTTTAATATGTAATTTCATCCAAATTTGAATTTAAAATGTCTGTAAAAAATAACTGTGTTCATATATTTTTAGATTTTTTGGTTACAGTATGAACTATTTATGAGAACCTTTTTTTTTTATATTTGCAATTCTTAGCTATAAAAACTGAACATTTTATAATTTATTAATTACAATGATTGATAATTTTCGAGATTTTGATAAATTTTGTGTAAATTCAATCATTAAATGCTTATAAAAAAAAACTGTGGCTATGTATTTTTAATATTTTTCAACTGATATTGTAACAATATACAGGAGCCTTGTAATAAATTTTTACACTCTTTGGCCCAACAGATAAAACTTAATTGATATTTATAGAAAAAAAACTAAAAAAAAATTGAAAGCTGTAAATGTCCGTAAATAGCTCAAAAAGAGTCAAAATATTTTCAAAATTGTATGGTGTATAGGAAATGCTAATTTAAACATTCAGTGAAATTTTCATGTATCTACAGTTATTCGTTTTTGAATTACAACAAAATAAGGAAATCGCTACATGAGAAATCAATAAGTGAATATCCAATGTTGTAAAAATTTGAATTTCAAACGCTCATAAAAATTTAATTTGACTTTCTTAGAAATTTTTTTTTTTGATAAAGGTAGACAAACTTATGAGGAATCTTGTATTTTATTTTAAAACCTTAGATTTAAAAAGAAAATTTTTACGAATTTCTAACTCAAAATAGTTTGCTAATTTTCGTGATTTTTCCATATTTTGTCAATTTTTGAACTTTAAATGCTTATAAAAAAAAATTGTGACTAACCAATTTTAATATTTTTCATCTGCCTTTGAAACAATATAGTAGGAGCCTACGTATACCTTGTGAGAATTTTCATGACCACTAAAATCTACTTATTATACAT